GGGGGGTGCAGAGCAGGTTCGAATCCCGCCTCTGCCGCATCATAGCTGGGCGGCCTTGTCCCAGGCACTCAGCCTCCCCCAGCCGGCCGGTGACAGGGGGCAGTCAGCCCACCTACTTTGGACGGAGTAGGCGCTCAGGAAACGTCAGCTTCCTGCCCGCATCCACCCTCGTCTCGTGTTTCCCTCTTCTCTGTTCTCCCTCCGCTTTCTTTTCCTTTTTTTTTTTAAATCCCTCCCTCCTGCGCCCTTTCTCTTCTCGGCTCCGCAATCTTAGCCAAACCGCAGTTTTTAGCAATCCTGCGCGCCCACCCGGCGCCCGGGGAGCCTCGCCAAGGCCGCGGCCAGACCGCCTCCCCGCGCCGCCCCCGGCCCAGCCCACCCGGAGGTCGCACCCGGCCCAGCAGTCCCGCGCCCGCGCGCAGCCAGCAGAGGGTCGCACCCTGCCCCGCTCCCGTCGGCCTGGCCTCGTCCTTCCTCTGGCTGCGGAGCCCCAACCCATCCGCCACCAGGACCGCGAGGACGGGCGAGGCGGGGCGCGCGGGCCAGGGCCGTGCCCGGGTGGCCGAGGGCACCGGGCGGGGCGACAGGCTCGGCCGCCAGGGCTGCGAGCGCCAGCCCGACCGCAGCCCGAGGGCACCGCTGCAAATAGCCGCGGTTTCCAGCCGGTGCCCGGCCTCCCTCCAAGCCTTCCGGACCTTGGGGATTTTCTCTTCCTTCTTCCCGCTGCCCTCTCCTCCTGCCTCCTCCCCGCCGTGCACCCACCACATCCTGTCCCACGCAAGATGGTTCCTGCGCTGGGGCGCGGGGAGCCCAGCCAGGGCCGGGAGACCAGCGCTGAGGTCCAGGGTTTCAGAGGTCCAATAATCACAAAATTTAATTTAGGATTAATTGAGCACATACTAGGTGCCAGGCACTGTGCTGAGCACTTTAAGGGTGGGAATTCATGAAATCTTTACCAACACCGGATAACGGTCAGCTCCAATTTGCAGATGGAGAAATTGAGGCTCAGAGAGACTCCTCAGGTCCTAAGGTCACCCCGTTTGGACCTGCAGAATGGGAAACCATCTCCCGGGCCCAGAGGCCCATGCTGTTGCTCTCCTCCAGCCCTGTGTTGCTTGCCCTTGTGGGCCGAGGCTGCAGGGGGAGGTGGGAAGCAGCTGACTGGGGGTCCAGAATGCTAGTCTGCCACCAATTCTCAGTGTCACCTAGAGAAAATCCAACTGGCCTCAGTTTCCACATCTGTAAAATGAAAGGGATGAAAAGCAAAACTCAGTTCCCGTAAGGAAGAACTTGTTAACAATGGAAAACATAAAACGGAACGTGAAGTATTAAGTGGGCAAGTTCAGTGGGAGGCTGAGTGACCGCCTCCTGCAGTGTTGAGACAAACCCACAGACCAGGGCTGGCTGTGTCAGAATTGGGCTGAGATGGGGAATCTGCATTTTAGCAAAGGCAGGGATTCTGAAGTCATCAGGTTTGCGATCCACCAAAAAGATTCCTGGAAGGCGGTGGAGGTGGTATGTGTGGGGCAGGTATCCTCCCCCAGACTTCCATACTTTTCACATTCATCTCTGCCTTTGCTGGCCTGGACTCAGAGTGATGGCACATTTCTTAAGGACCTACTGTGTGCTATGCACACATATATGACAGCCCCACTCCCAGAGAGCTCATGGCATAATCAACCACCATAAGGCAGACTGGCAGGGCTGCCCTGAGCCCAGCTGGCCCCTTTGAGAGAAATGGAGCAAAGCATCTTCTTCCAGGGGGGCACGGCCTCGCGGCAGGCTGTGCAGCTCAGTGAGCAGAATGAGAGCTGGGTTTCACCTCCACTCTCCCTCTCAGCAGCCGCCTCCGTGCAGGACGTAACCCACACAGCCTCTCACCGCAGCCTGCGCAGATCTGCAAGAGAGGTAAGTGGGAGACAGCGGAAAAGCCAGGAAAGGGGCCTATTAATTCTTGCTGGAGACAGGAATAGAGATCAAAAAACTACCGAGGAGGTGAACATTAAGCTGGGCCTTTACGGATGGGCGGGAGTTCACCAGGTAGAAAGGGAAGTCCACGCAGAGGCAACAGCCAAGGCCAAAGCAGCGGGCAAGAAGTCTCTGTCCTGGGAGCAGGTGGTGCAGTGTGTCCGGGAGCAGGGAACGGCTGCAGGGCAGACAGGGAAGGGGGCACACCGTCCCCTTGCCCCCATCTCTATGCCGGCACATACCTAACTGGATATAGCTTATCTGCCAACCAGAGGTATCCTCTCCTAGAGACTGGGAGACGCTGTAGGACAGGGATGGCGTCTTATTTGTCTCACTCAGTGGCGTTAGTAGTAACAGCAATAACAGTTAACGGGTATTAAATATCCACCATCACCTACTGTGCTAAGTGCTCCACAGGCACTACCTCATTTCATCCTCAAACAACTTTGGAAATAAGTGCTATTACTCCTCCCGTTTTACAGATGAGGATTCTAGGGTTTAGAGGGGTTAAGTAATGCGCCTCACGTCACACAGCTACTTAGTGATGGAGCGAGGATTGGAATTCAAGTCTCTCTGACCACAGGCCCTTGTTCTACACTGACAGATGGACAGATGGATGAATGGGTGGAAGAGAGGGAGGAACTAAGTGAAGAAGGGCCTTGAATGCCATGCTAAGGAGCTTGAACTTTATTCCAAGGACAGTGGGGAGACATTGGAATGTTGTCAAGCAGGAAGAGCCAGGCCAGGTTCGGGCTTTAGCAAGATCACTTTGACCACAGTGGGAAGAGAGCTTAGAGCCGATGACACTTGAGCAGGAAGCCATTTTTCTGACAAATCCCAATCCCCACTTGTGAAGAGCCTCATTTCTTTAAGCAGTGTGTTATTCCTCTTAGGGCACACGTGGGGACTACTGACAGAGGGGAACACTGAGAAAAGGGGGCCCAGAGAGGGAAGGGGAGACAAGTGGTGGAACACCAGCTAAGTTTTGGGGAGCAGAGCCCCAGGAAAGGAGGACCCATACAGTCAGTCCACTTCCCCATTTCCAAGATGACAAGGCCCCCTCGGGGCCCTAGCCAGGGCACACACTGCCCCATTGTGCACCTGTCACCAGAGGGAACGCAGCCAAAATTGAGGCGGGTGTTGCATCAGAGAGCTAAGCCCTGGGATAAGTGCTGGGGGGCGGCGGTGAACGAAGCAGCAAGACAGCTGGAAGGACAGAGCACAGCGGAGCTTCCCGCACCCACACAAAAGGAGCCTGAGAGGACGGCCTGCCGGAGGCGGGCGTCTTCAGGCTGAGAGGGGCTCCCAGAGGGTCCCAGGACAGAGCAGCGCCCACCATGCTGCTCTGCCTCACCCTGCTTCTCCTGATGGGGCTGTCTGCGTGTGCTGTGGCAGGTGACGAGGAGTTGGAAATCAGCGCTGAAGCAGGGCCCTGGCTAACCTTGACCCTGGAGGTACCTTTGGGGAGAGGCTCTGCCCAGAGCAGGGGATGATCCATGGTGGAGGGGGCAGAAGATCCTCTCCATGGATGCCAGGAGAGCAGGTTGTACACTGTTACCCCCAGGTGGGTAGGTACACGGCCATGGCCCCTGGCCTGGCCTACCTCCAAAGGGGCACATGCACGAGAGAGTGAGTGAGTGAGAGACAGAGAGTGTGTGTGTGTGAACAAACACTTATTTAACATATGCTATGTTTCTGGCACTGTCCTAAATACTTCATAAATATTAACCCATTTAATCTTCATATCAACCTTATGGGGAAGGTACGATTATTATTCCCATTTCACAGATGAGGAAACTGAGGCACAGAGAAGTCAAGTAGTTTGTCCAAGGTTACACAGCTTCAAAAGCACAACCTCACACCTTGCTCAAGCTGATTCTGTGTTTCTGTACATCAGAAGAGATTTTCCAGAATTTCCTTTCAAGGGGATCAACTTGGGGCAGGATCACTGTTTTATCTCACATGTAGAAGCTTTTATTTCCTGACAAGTACTGGTTTGATAGCTGATCTCTTCTACTAAACAGACCCGAGTGTTGTCACTGGGGAGAAATCTACAAGTTAGAGACACGGCATCTGTGCCCCACCCCATCTGATGGGGGAGACAAAGATCCTGACCGCAGGGAGCTCCCAATCAGACAGGGGGCAGAGGCCAAGAGACTAAACAGGACCAGCGCTCAGGGAAGGCTTCCAAGAAGGCAGTGGGACAAGGCTAAGCCTGACTCCTTCTGGTCTTGGGAGGTGAGAATACTGGAGCCAGAGGGAGAGCCGTCTAGGGAACGACCATTCGGGGTGGGTTTCCTTCCTGGTTTGTCTGAACGTGGAGGTGTGTGCAGTCGAGAAGACGGCAGGCTGGGGAGACCCAGGTTCATGTCTCAGCTTCTCCACTGACTCCACACGACCGTGGGAAGATCATCGCTGCTCTCTGGACATCAGTTTCCTCACCTGTAAAATGGGGGGAGAGGGAAGATGATCCCCAAGGTTTTTTTCAAGCTTTGACATGCTTTACGGAGTCTGTGCCAAGCATCAGGGGACCTGGCCCAGGTACAGGGAAGCCAAGCTGTGTGACGGGGTGCTTTCTACGCAGCCACACGTAACATCATCATCGTTACGAAACATCGTTAGGAAACATCATCATCGATTTCAGCTAGAGCTGCTGGAATTTCCACCCGCAAGCACCGCACCATGCAGCTGGGTCTAATGCTTAGTCTCCTTTCACACTCATTCAACATCCCTCTGCTTCCCAAGACACAGGGCTTGGAATACAGGAACCATTAATACGAGTGAGGTGACAGAAGGAATGTTGGCACCTTCAGGGATGATCTGATTACCTCCTAAGCTCTCAGGGCTCCTCCCCTGCAGTCACCCCTGGAGCTGGGGATTGGGGTTCAATGATAAGGAGGGCTTCAGGTAGGGGCAGGGCACACACTGCCCCATTGTGCACCTGCCACCGGAGGGAATGCAGCCAAAAGTGAGGTGGGTGTTGAATCAGAGAGCTAAGCCCTGGGATCAAGTGCTGGGGGGCGGCAGTGAAGGAAGCAGCAAGACAGCTGGAAGGATAGAGCACAGCGGAGCTTCCCGCACCCACACGAAAGGAGCCCAAGAGGACGGCCTGCTGGAGGGCCCCCCAGAAACCCGGTGGGTGGAGGAAAAGGTGAGTCTTATTTCATAAATAACCATTCTCTCCAGCTTGCATTTGAAGGCTGCCTTTTACCAAGGCAAAGTGGTTTTCATGAGCTTTTCAGAAATGGGTCCAAATCTCCAGAGACTTTCCGGTTCCTGGCCAGGCTGGGTGACTCCAGCCCAAAATGGCTGCCCCGTCATTGAGGTCCTGGAGAGGAGACAGATCGGAAGTGACTGAATTAGTCCAAGGCTTAGAAAACAACCCACTCCTGATCCTGAAAGTTGGGAAAAAACAAGCTAGGAGAGGCAAAGGGGTTTCCACTGCAGCCCAGCCCGGCCTCTGCTGGTCCCCGGAGCTCCAGCACTGCCCCGGGGGACAGCGGGGATGGATGCAAGGGCCCCTGAGCCAACCCCAGCTTGCAGCCTCCGGGCAGGCGGCTCGCATTATTCTAGGGCTCTGTTCCCCTGTCCTCAGCCTTCCTGGAAAAGGAGACCCCATCCTCTTCCCTATTCCCAGACTGTCAGACAAAGAGCCCTCGTCCAGCATTCTGTATCCCACACATGTACTAGGCACTGTGCCAGGCACTGGGGATACAGAGATGTGAACACAGTCTAATGAATGTCACCCACTGTCATTCTCTCCACTATCGAGCCTTCTTCCCTCTCAGCTGAGCTGAGCACGCACTTCTTCAGGGGCTCCGGTTAAGGCCAGAGAGGGAGAGGACTCTGGCCAAAGTCACAAAGGCTAATGGAGGCATGAAAACTTAAACTCACAGCCCTTGGTCCAGAACTTTTGCCCCATCAGCTGAAGGATGAGAATGTCTTTGCCCAGGGTAGAGGCCTCCACCCCAGGCCACATGCCACGTTCCCCATGGGAGGCCCAGGCTCTAGGGCAGGGTAAATCTGGGACAATGAGGGGCGTGTGGGGGAAGAGAAGAGAGCAGAGTCAGAGTGGGGTTGGAGAGGAAGCAGTCTCACCTTGCCTACTGGGTGCCCACCCTGAGTCCATCAGCTGCCCCCTCCTTGTCTATGTTGGAGATATTTCCCAAGATGGAGCAGAACCCGTGCTCTGGAGCCAGACTTCCTCAGTTTGAATCTTGGCTCTATCAGTTTCTGTGTGACCACGGACAAGTCATTTAACCTCCATAAGTCTCAGTTTCCCCATCTGTAAAACGGTGACAAATCATAATCCCTACTACATAAGGTGGTTGTGAAGAGTCAGTGAGATTATGACAGTGTTTGAGCCTTTGAGCCTGATGACCTGGCTTCAGGTTCTGGCTCCGTCTGTCACTTCATAGCTGGTGAGCTCCGACAACTTATTTAATCTCTCTGTGCCTCAGTGTTTCATCTGTAAAATGGTTACAGTAATAGTATTTACTTCATGGGGTTTTGGTAAGGATTAAATGAGTTAATACATAAAAGTGCTTAGAATACTGCCCTCCCCGTCTCCTTGCCAACCTCCCCCCAACTTAACTCTAATGGACTCTCTGCTTCTTCAGGAAGACATCCTCCCCAGCATTCTGCTCCAGCTGCAAGAGGTGAAGAGGGGCAAAGCCAGGCAGTTCTTTGGGCTGATGGGGAAGCGGGTAGGAGGTGAGTAACAAAGGGGCGGGCCCAGCAGCAAGTGGTTCTGAGTGGGTTCCGTCACACCAAGCAGAAGCCCTAGCTTAAAGCCCAGGACCCAGGGTCCATTACTCCAGTCTGGTGGGGGTCGCCCACGCAATGGGGTGGGGTAGAGTGTCCATATAAATTATCATCCACACCGGCACACTTGGAAAGTGTTAATTACACCAGGCAACAGCTGTAAATCGGGCTGTCTCCAGCACACGGGGAGTACGGTCACCGTAAGGGTGGTGGCCAGTGCTTCGCACCCCCGCTGGTGCCCTTGCCTTCAATACTGTGGATGACTTTGAAGAGTGGTGGTGAAGCTGGAGATCAGCATCTAGATGTGAGCAAAGCCAGGGGCCAAGCTGCCTAGTCAATTCTCTTTGGCTCACACAGAATTATTAAAATGAACGTCTGTTCCCTGAGGGCACTCTCAATGTGGGAGTCATGTCCTGGGGGGACAAGGAGACAGCAGTTTTGGGCAGAGAACAGTTTTCTCTTTTCTTATTGTCAACATCATATATATTTTTAAGTGGTGTTGGTGAGGGTACCAAGAAACTGGCACTTGAATACACTGTCTATTCGGCGGACACTTTGGTAATATCCATCACAGTTGGACATATGCATACCTTTTGACAACAGTCTCACTTCAGGGAATCTGTCAGACAGAAATGCTATTGATACATAAGCCCTGAGATATTTGGACCAGAGTGTTCATCGCCAACTTTCTTGTAATAGTAAGAATTTGGAAATAACATAAACATCATCAATACAGGAATAATCAAAATATATTAGGCACGTCCGTAGCCTTTGTGGCCATTAAGGATGAGGCAGATCTGTGGAAAGATATGGAAAGATTTCCAAGATTTTGGTTAAGTGGAAAAAGCAACTTATATAACAATATGTATGACTGGAACCTACTTGTTTTTGTAAAAAAAAAGCTACATACTTACACACATATATATGCAAATGCATAGGGAAAGTTCTAGAAGTATAAATATCAAACTGTCAACAGTGGTTACATTTAGGATAGGAAGCAGAAGTAAGGGAGACAGAGTGATGAGGGATTTTAATTTTTACTCTACAAACCTCTACATTACTTGATTCTTTTTATAGTGTGCATGTATTCAAGGACTGCTTTTGTAATAAAAAAATTTCCGATAAAAATAAAGAAGACCAACTTGTGACCAAACACTTTTGGCCTTAGTTTCCTCCTCTACAAAATGAGTTTTGCACTGGGCCATTGCAGAGCTCTCTTCCAAATCCAACAACCCATGAGAAGCAGAGGATGGGGTATAAAAGAAATCTTTCTTGAGCTCCTACTATGCTGACAGGTGATTAAATCTCACAACAACATCCCATTTACCACCAGCGGGGAAACGAAGGTTCAGATAGGTTAAGTCCTTTTCCAGGGATGCCCAGCTGGTGCCACGAGCCAATGCCTCCAAAGTCTGTGCACTTTCCACTACTCCATACCGCCTCCCAGCAGGAGCACCCAAGCGGCTCAGCCACACGAGGACAATGGGCAGTGACTGGAGTTTCACTGAAGACCCACCAAAGGCACCAAATCCCCAAGAGCCATGAGCTCTTCCCACCTCACCAAGACCCGGGGAAGCAGGAAGCGGTACAGTCCTCATTCCTTCTTTCTCCTTCCCCCAGGAATACCTCCCATCCAGCCAGGGGGAAGAACAGGTAAGTGTTGTCCAGACCTTCCCCTCAGCATGCTCCCTGGGGAGGGCCAAGTTGTCCTGGCCACTAACAAGTCAGGGAAGTGGGGGAAGACGCTCTGGCCAGGGGCACACCAGGCTGGCACTGCAGAGGGTGGAGCCAGTGTGGTTTGGCCACACATTAGGCTTCCTGGTTGTTTCCGTAGAGCAGTGGTCTATGATGCCGAGGGAGTAGTTGCAGGAATAAGCAGGAGATGGGAATGAATCTGCTTCTGCCAAAGGTTCAAAATTACCTTGGGTCTAAAGCCTGGTTTTAGAAAAACTAATCAATCCATTTCCCACCCTGCACCTGGAAAGATCTTAAAAGTGCAAATCTAAACAGCTAGTACCTTGCCCAAAACCCTTCAGTGAAAAGATAAAAGCAAAATCAGAAGAAAACAAATGAACCTTTACCCATCACTCCCTCAGTGCCCTCAGGATCAAGTCCAATGCCCTAACATAACTCACCACATCCTCCAGGACCACTCGCACTTACTTGACTCCCAGACCCATCTCTCCTTCCCTGCCTGCCTGCCCTATCCCAATGGAGCTTGTCTCCATGGCCTGGGCATAATGCTCTCCTTGGTGTACTGCACTGTCCTCCTGGGTCACACGGCTCGTGTCCCTAGACTGGAACCCCTGCCCTGGGCAGGTACCAGGTCTGCGATCTCCTCTGTATCCCCAACACCCAGCAGTCTCTGTCTGTTAGAGGCGCCGGTTAGGTGTTTGTGAAACGAAGGGCAGAAGGGAGGGAGAATGGAAGAGAAAGAGGAAGGAATTAATGAATTAATGGGTGAATGAATAAACCAATCCATGGTTTTTCCTCAACTCTCAGGATGATTGAGAAATGACTCCACTTACGAGGCCCCAGCTCTGGCCCTGTCCCTGCCCTCCCTCCCTGCCCAAGACAGCCTTCCTTTGCTGCACTTTCTTTTTCTCTGTCTCTTTTCTCTCCATCACCAGGGGATCAGCAAGGACAAATGGTCCTGGACCTCCCGGGCAGGAGAGGATCACCTACAGAAGGTAGGTGAGAGCCTCTAGTGGATTGCAAGGTATCATGGGAAAGTGGCCAGATACTTTGCTGCCAGTCTCCCTAGCGGGGCCAGGCAGCTGGACAGACAGAACAGGCTCCCCACAAGCCATTAGGCAGAGGCCCCATAGAAGAGAGCAACTGGGGTACAGGGGAGTGGTCCCTTTGATGATCCAGGCCTGATCCAGGCTGCCAAAGCCCTGAAGCTGCACCCTCTCCACCCCTAACACATCCAGGCACATTCTGCTTCCCCCTCTCAGGGCCAGGTGAAGCCACAGAGAATGGTGTGTAGTTTCTCAGACCCTGGTACATGCTCCTTATTCCCTCACTAATCATTGATCATTAGAGAGTCATGCCTTTAGTCTTCAGACATTTTCTGTCTTTAACAATTGTAAATTAGTGCAAATCACCCTGGGAGGGTAACAACCTAAGCAGTTATCAGTTAACACCTTCTGGCAGGGGCCACAACCCCAAATGGGTCCAACTATATGTTCAATAAATGGATGGACAGGCATGAAAGTAGATAAGTGAATCAGGCTGGGGGAAAGATCAACAGCTCAAACTAGCCAGCAGAAGAGGAAGGGTAGGGGGCGTCCCAGATGGTCAAAGATGCTGAGCTCCAGTTTGCCTTCTCTAATGCCTGACCTCTTCCCCCAGAGCTGCAGACTTATGGACCCCTCTCTAGCTTCCCTGACAGAACACCTGCTCCTTCCAACACAGGCTCTTGGGAATAAAGATGGGAAAGTCTTCTATTTTCCCCCAAGATTTTTTTCTAAGTGTTTGAGCCATTCCATTCCAAGAGCCATGGAAGTCACCACAATACCAAATAGAAATGAATGTCCTCCATGCAGTGTGGGCAGGAACCTTAAAGTCATCATTTTTCAGGGCTGGAAAGCAACTTGCCCAAAGTCACACAGTGAGCTAATAACAGAGCCGGCACTAAAAGCTGTGTCTACCGTTTCCTAACCCATGGCACTCTCCACATCCGCAGGAGGGCATTTGGGATTCTGAATACGGATTACCACTTCCCTTCCTTTAGAGAGGATAACTGAGGGTTGGCTCGGTTCTGCTCTGGAGGCGTTTACAATTGAATAATGGAAGATAAGGCAGATGAACCTGTAATTTGATTGCCCTAGATATCTAAAGCCAGAGAAATATGAGTTAGGGACATGGAGGGCCTCGGGTGCAGTGACAAGGGAAGGCCTCCAAAGGTGGAGACAGACAAGACTCCCCTAACCACCATCCAGGTACAGAACCCTTCCCAGGAAGAGAGGACGAGGACCACGGGTCAGAGTGAGATCCCCCATCGCATGCTTCCCAGAGGACGAAACCCCTTCTCTCCCCACCTGGACGTTACAGCTGACAAGCCAGCCAGGCCAACTTTCTTCTCCATGTGTCTCCTGTGCTCAACACTGGTGTGTCCAACCAGGCCCTCTTAACTCTCCGGGGTTCCTTCCAGGACTCTCGGTCTCAATGATCAAATGATCGTGCATAAATGCACTGCGTCACAATCACAAGCTGCAGGGACCTTGCCCTCCCTCAGCACTGAGCTTTTCACTGCATAACAGGATTGAGTCGCACCCACTTCTCTATCTCCTGTGCCCAGAACACAGTAGGGGCTCAATAAACGAATGAACAGTGAATGGCTTCTTCTGTGGTACAGGGTAGAGGGCAGGAATGTGGCCTGGCATGTCAGTAGGACAGGAGACCTTTTCCAGAATTGCAAAGGGAAATACTAAACAGCCCTGGTCTCCACCCTCAGGTGGGAAAAACAGGCTTGGGACACAGGTAAAGACGATGGCCCTGGCCTGAAAACAGACACCCTCTCCCTACCCAGTCATGATCTCAAGGACCCAAATCCAGTGTCTTCTGACTTGGAGAACAATTGAGTCCCCGGTCCTTGATTAATTCTCATGTATAAGGTGGCCCTTCAATTAACTGCTTTGCTTTTGGGACATGGGCAGGCAGTCATTCCCGGAGCACCACTTGCCCTGAGCACTGGCAGGAGCTGCAGTGGGATGAAACAGTTCTCACTCTCAGGGAGTCCCCAGTCTGATAGGGAGACCACTGTTCCTGTCCCAGTGGTTTATAGGCAGGTGGGACAGAGGAACCCCAGATGATTAGAAAGAGGCACATCAGCCAGAATGAAATCCTAGAGGGCAAACTTAGTAATAAGCATCGAGGTGCTCAACAAAGGAATGAGTTGGGAATTGTGTGGGTTCATTAATTCACTAGGCTACATAACACGTAGCTTCCCTGTGTCTCTCTCTCCAAAAAGGAGGAAATGTATTAAGTTTTTTGGGGCATTTGATTCTTTGGGGGTGGGAAGTGGCTAAACTTTTTAAAAGGAAGGGAAGAAGGCATTGGTGGAAAAGGCAGGCCCTTCATCTGGGTGCTGGGGAAGGTTTTAGCAGAGGCCTCTAAGGAGAGGCCAAATGGTGTCAGCACAACCAGCAGGATTCTACTTGACCTGCAGGGAAACAGGCTCTGTCCCAAGACCGTTTATCATGAGCCCTGAACAAACCTGAGGCCTCTCTTCTCCATTCTCACACCTTATCCACGTCCAGTGAGAAATATGAGGGTGGGAGACAGTACACGCCTTCTCCTGACACTACTGCATAATTTCCCAGTTAATGTATTTCTCATTCCATCCACTCCTAGTTTCTAACCCACTAGCATCCCCAGTGTCTTCCCCACTTCACCCCAACCAGTGCTGTGGTCCCAAGAGGTGGTTCACTGTAATAACCCAACTTGAAGGATCAGCAAAGAGGTCTGAAGATTTTATTCTTATGTTTGAAGTTTGGGACACTTAAGAAAAATAGAAGTCACCAAATATTTCCAGAGTTTCCTCTGTGTGCTGGAACTTCGCTAGGAACTCAGATGGGACTGGGAGTATGAAAGAAGTATGAGACTGGAATTTGTTCTTAAAGACCTAAGGACCTTACAGGGGAGTCAAGATGTACTCACTCTGTGCAAAGGCCACACCCTGCTCTCCAATGAGCCTTTTCAAACCCACCATGTCCACTCAAGCTTCTGGTTTCTGCACACACCATTCTCTTCCCATTTTGGTGAATTCTTACTCAGAGGTCAATGTCTCTAAAGCTTTTGCAACCTGGCAACTACCCATTCACCCCCTCCTCTGAGTTCCTGAAGCACCTTGCACATTCTTCCATTACAGCACTTAATATATGTTGTTATAATAGTTTATTTCCTCAACAGGGTTTCTCAAGTACACAGACCTCATTTATCTTTACCCCAGTGCCAACAATAGTGCTCAGCACACAAGAGGTCCTTGGAGTTTTGATGGACTCACACTTCCTGTCCTCAGGATGTCTGTCTCTAAAGAGCCATGAAGGAGCCAAGGCAATACTAGCTACTGCAATAAATAGCAGCTACCACTTACTGAACGCATATCCCGTACTTCTCAAACTCAACATGTCCAAACACTGAACTCTTGACCTACTGCCCCAATGCTACTCCTGTCATGAGCATCTCTACAAACAGCACTTCCACGTACCCAGCTGCCCAGGTTAGAAACCTGGAGTTACCCTCCAGTCCTCACTCCCCATACCTAATACATCCCCTGGTTGTTGGTTCTTCCAAAATCTATCTCCAATTCATCTTCTTGCTGCCTTCACTACCACTGTTAATACAAGCTATCGTCTTCCCTTGCCAGAAGGGCAGCAGCCTCCTGAAAGACTTGTTTCCCACCTTACTGCCAGACCCATCCCCATCCATTCTCCTCTGCGAGCATGACCTTTTAAAATGGGAAATCAGATCATGTCCATCCCCTACTGGCCACAGTTCAGTTTCCTAGGATATACCCAACATTCTTGTTGAGGCCTCCAAGGCCCTGTGCTCTCTGATCCTTCCCCCTCAACTGCCTCGCTCCTTACCAGGCTCTCTCAGGCCCTCACCAAGTGCTTGCCTGCCTCGGGGTCTCTTGTCAGGCTCTTCCCTTCTGAACGCTGCCCCAGTCCCCTCACTCCTCTCTTGGCCAATTCCTCACTGTTCACGTCCCAGGATAAAGGTCTTTCCTCAGACAGGGCTTCCTTGAAAACTGGACTCAACTAGTTCCCTCCAGTTATGCTTACACACCTTGTTCTTTTCCATTCATAGCACTGATCACAATTAGAAATCATGCATTTAATGTCTCATCCAGGAGATTGCAATTCCACATCTTTTGTGTACAAATGATTATTTGTGCACATATCAGCATTTTGCAAGACCACTTACCTTCACAACCATCCTCATTCTGCAGATGAAGATAAGCCACATGCTTGATGTTACACAAAAATGGCAGAGCCAGGATTCGAGGCAAGGTACCTTCACTCCACAGACTCAACCCCTACACTTAGTTGGTCTATGCCATAATCATACAGACAGATGTCAGGTGGAATTATAAAGATTTCAAGAGGAATTCCTTTTTAGCTGGGCCATTTCAACAGGTAGGAAAGAAACTTCCAAATGCCTGTCCCCCCTCTCCAGCATACTGGTCTCTCAAGAGGCTCCTTCCAGATCAAACCATTTTAGGGAGTGCTACATTCTGTCTCCCTCTTGGAAAAATCCCAAGAGGGAGGTTTTGAGAAGTCCTGAAGTCAAGAAACATACTGATCTTTCACTTTAACTCGGTATTTTTCAAGTCTGACTACAGTACCCTTTCAGCCCACACCGCTTTGTGTTTAATGGGACACTTCGAGGAACGCTGAAGGGGAGGCTTTCCCAATACAAACAGGAAAAGGAATAGAGACTAATCCAGTCGCATGTTGAAGCTGTGTCAGGGAATGATGAAAGCTATGTAGGTTAAGTTAGCTTATGGACACTTGAACTTAATCCAATGAAAAAACGAAAGCCACATGAATTCTTGAGCAGGGAAGTGATGAGCGTTGTCTTGATAGGATATTCTTCACTTTCCCTGATATACTTCCATAAGGAGGTGGCTAAGAATTCCAAGGCCAGGCAGGGACCTCAGAAGCAATTTGACTGACAGTTGAGATAAGCTGAATGACCAAACAGGTGACCAACTGGCTCTGAGGGCGCCATTACATATTATACGATACTACTCCCTGGAGTCACACAAGGTGGTGGCCCTCCTCTGGGCTCAATGGCTTCCCATCACAGGCAGTTGATGGAACCTACAAGGCCAAACTGAATTCTAGCCCTTGAGTTGCAAAAGTTCTTGTTTCACTTACCCATTGCTGTGTATCAAACCATCCCAAAACAATTAATGGCTGAAAACAATATTTTTCATGATTCTTTAGGCGGGCAGGACTCCTGCCCCTCACTATTCAGTTTAGCTCAAGATTCTGGTTTGGAAACATGTCGGCTGGTTTCCAAGAGCAAAAGTGGAAGCTGCCAGAATACCACTTCTGCCACATTCAATTAGTCAAAACAAAAGTCCAGCCCACACTTGAGGGAAAAATAGATCTCCTATTGGAAAGAGCAGCACACATCCAGAGGTGAGAGAAATTGCTGGTGGCCATCTCTGGAGATGATCTACCACACCTCTTTTTTTGTGAGATGATAATGTAGGTTTCTAATAACTTGGAATAGAGTAAACATAAGGTGAGCTGTTTCCAGAAACAACCAACCAGTGAAGAAGAAAGACTGGTTTCCTGGAATGAACATGACTTTTCAAGGATAAAGGTGTTTACATCTCACATAGAACATATGGGAGGAGCAACAGAGCCAAAGTTGTGCAACAGCAGAGGTTATTTTCTCCACTCTTGGGCACAAATAAACAAAGCCCCAAACCCCAGAATGGTGGCAGCATGACCTGCATCTACAGGTATTGCACAAGACAGAAGGGACAAACTGATATTTCAGCCCCAGGGACATTTTTCACCACTGGGCAGTCCTTTGTTTCCTTCTTAGTGACATCCATCGGCATTTTGTTGAAGATACCACAAAGGAAGTGGGCAATTATACTGCCCCCATCAGCAGGAAACAGTCTGGAATAGGCAGTCTTACAAGTTTGTAGCAGAAAGTGCTGGGGCAAAACCAGTGGAGGTCCAATTCTTAATTCCATGGTCCCAATGAATAGCAAAAGGTAGTTTCTAGAATTTCTAGCACACATATTATTTAGCAGAGGAGTTTTCATTTTATCCTTATAACATGCAAAGCCCTGGACAGCATTTTGTACATATGTGCACCAGAGGCCACAGTGGGCCAGGCCTTCTCCCGCAGCTGTCATGTGACATCACTTGACGGGACCTGTTATTTGAGCCTGAACACACGAACTAGCTTAGGGCCTTGGGTGATGGTGAAGGCAGGCGGAAGGCAGCGTTTCTGCCTTCTCACTGGAGCTTTCTCAAACCATTTCATAACCCCAGTCCAAGAATGGACTTCAAAGGCTCAATTTCCTGAACTGTAGACAAATGTGTGCATATTTGCACTATGTGCATTAAAAAAAAAAAAAGACTCAACACTTTGAATAACTCAAAAGGTCAGAAGAAAAAAAAGGATAAGGACACTGTGAGAGCTATGCTGCTTGATCCCAGCACCTCATAAAAACCTCACTTCCTCAAAGGCTTATCAACTGCTCTTCAAAGGAGGCAAAGGCAGGCATGGTTACGACTACCCTAGAAAAGTTACTAATATACATCCAAGAAGCTGCTTTTCATTTGTTTCATATTCCAGAAAATGTGTACTATAAGCAGGCTGTGGTCTATTTTTCTATAGTGGCTTTTCCCGTATAGCCTCCACCTTGATCTCAACCAACTGGCTTCACATGAACTCCATTCGAGGCCATTCCTAACCCTAGCCAGGGCAATCCGCCCAGAACTACAGGGACAAACCAAAGCTGAGGACAAGTCAAAAGCACCATCTTGCCATATAAAGGGTATACTGTACTGTTAAAAATTACTTAACATGACTCACTATTCCCTTGTGAGAAATGGGAAAACAGGCCCAGAGGCATCAGATGACTCACGACAGCATTGTCAAAAGTGTGGGATTTAGCACTAGAGAATTTGCTCATTCTGTTTCTATAACCCAGCAGCAAGAGCTCTGAGCCTCAAACTTCCTCCTGTGGGAAGGGATATGATACCCACCTGACAGGGCATTTTGGCGAGGACTGAAGGAAACGTGCAAGTGAAGGGACAGTGCTTACTAAACAGCTTGTTCCTAAACCAGACGCAGAGCCAGAATGAGGCACATCTTCTGCTTTCTGGTTTAGATCTCTGGCCCCCAAATGCTGCTTATAGGATCAACTATAATCAATCCTTTTGTCTGAAAGTTTTCACCAATTTACTTTTCTTGCAATGGAAGCCACTAGAATGACGGGGGCCTGTGGATGAAGCAAGGAAATCGAACTAGAAGGGAGAGGATGATTAATCATTAAGTTATCAAAAAAGCTGAGGAAGCAAATGGTAGAGGGGAGGGTGCAGGTTCTCAAGTTGGACAGACCAAAATGAGATTTCTGGCTTCGTTGCCTACTGTGTCACCTTGGGCTCCAAGTTTCCTTCTGCAAAACCAGTGTGAATTCCTACTGCACAGGGCTAAGAGGAGGGTCAAACAGGGCAGGATGAAGGTATCCAGCACAGTATTGAGCATACAGGAAGCAACCAGCACATGCTAGAGCTCCCTTCTTCCTCCACAAATAGAGGAGGTGCTTCCATTTAGAGGGTCTCGGGAGCTAGACCCAGGAATAACTCGACTTTTGCTCCTCTAATGAAGGAGCCTAAGCAGCTGAGCTGCTTTTGTGCAGGTAAAACGGAGTCAGAGGGGACAGAGAATCCGTCTCACTGGACGCTGCCAAGGAAGTGAACACTCTGTTCCCATTACCTGTAAGGGATTTAAACCAGAGAAATCTTCCTTCTATTTTCAGGTGAGGACAGGGGGCGGGAGTCAGTGGAGGCTCGGGACTCAGACTGTGCACAAAATTTCAGGTGCCTTGACCTCTCAGCACTCCATTCTCATGATCCTTATTACCTACTTCAATCTTTTCAAAATGTGAGAGCAGACTTTCCCTTTGATATAAATATTTAGAACAGGGAGATTTGGGCACACATCATTCTAAGTGAGTGTAACAGGGGTCCTTTTATAACCTTCAGCTTCTTTCCATCCCATCCTCCACCCCCAATAAGTGACACACAGGACTCTAACCTTGCAAAGGAGGACCCTTAGCTTGTCTGCTGAGATAGCTTCACATCACTACTAGCCACAGTGAGCAAAACCACCCCAGCAAATATGATTTCCACCCTCCTTCTTTCCACCATACAAATATGTGTCCAGCCTTCCTTTTCCTGCACTGGGTAAATGCAACAGGAAAATTACTTTCAGACATCAGCTACTTTCAGAAATCATCTCAACCCAGGAAAGTCAATGCGTAGAGGCAGTACTGCTCACTATTGGCAAATGAGCTTGGAGATGAGAAGGGATACACCTGTTCCCACCTCCCACTATATCAATTGTACCCACCTATCCTAACTTTCTGCTGGCTCCTCTGCCCTTGAAGTCAGAGGAAAATGAACTTAATGAAAGAATGAATAATACTAACTAATCATTGCTATGCATATCTATTAGTTGGAACCAAAGTGAGGCAGAAAGAACATATCCCAGCAACTAGCCAAGTTCAGAGTAAGAAGTACCTCTATAGATAGCCTGCATCACAGACAAAAAAATTCCACAGCCACAAACCACATCCCTCAATTGAGCAGTCAGTTTACTGCTAGGGAAAATAAACCCCAAGTGCATTTACCATTAGTAGCAGGTCAGCTGCATCATTTTCATATATAAATGAGAGCCCCTGGGTGAAACAGACTTGAGCAGAGAACATGCTTTATTGAGGAGTAGATATAGAACAGCACATTCTACCACATGAGGGGAAGGGCAGCTTCTGTAAAAGGCCTTTACCCCTTAAGAAAACCCCCAGTGAAGTTGCTTTTCGATAAATTTTAACAGTGACACTGAAAATGGCAGGGAGCGGCCATTGAACATGCTTAAAATTAGCTCCCCTAACCCACAGTGAATATAAGTAGTGTACAGAGATGACAAGAGAAAGGCACAAATGACCAGAGTCGGGATTGTGGTAAGGGCTCCACATGAAGACGACAGTGTTGTAGGAGACCAAGTTGGGAAGGGTGACATGTCATACATCAAAAGCTGCCCCAAGATAGCAGGTTATAATGGGCTACAGAGAAATTAGAGGGAGCATCTCTTCCTTCACTTGAACAACACCAAAAATAGACCAGAGAATAGGGGGATGGTGGGAAATCCCAAAAAGGAAATGGAGTTGTTGTTCTTGGAAGGGCATAAGTACTTTAGTCCTAGAGGGAGGGTGAGGCACTGTTGAAAAGAGAAGCAAACCTTGGCAGGGGTGGCCATTCTGCCTTGCTGAGTCATGGGCTGAGATACGGAAGTCATTTTCAATCATTTTCTACTTCTCCGAGGATGTTCAGACAAAATCAATGCAACTTATGTGGAAGTCTAGGTGTGCTATATCAGACTGGTACAGGTGAAAAGGTTTTTGCAGTTATGATTAACCAGTTAACATATGCAGCATGAAAGGGAGAACTGGAAATTATTTTGGCACCTGCAAATGTAAAAAGGGGCAGGGAATAAAGAGAGAGAAAACATTTACTGCTGGACACTTTCTGGTGAGGCAAAAAAAGTATTCATTCCCTTCCACCAAGACACTGCCCACTGCCCAAGGTGAACTCAAACCAAAACACAGCATCACCACCTCTTAATTCTTCTCTCCATCTCATCCAGATATATGATGTTACCAAGACTAATCCCTGGGAGAGTCTTCAAAAGTATTCGGCTCTGGTCAGCCTGATACTGATCAAAAACACGTCTTTCAATAAAAATGGAGGAAAAAATTTAAAGCAAGATGAAATCCAAAGGGAACAGACCACTCCCAGTACACACACACTCAGAAGTGTTACCTCTTCCCTGCCCCTCCAAAAAACACAGGTAAGGAATAACCGGAAAGGTCCTGTTGGTGGCAACCGTACTTGGAGGTCTGGTGACCGGGCGGCAAGAAGCACTATTACAAAGTTTAGAAGACACAACACAACCTCATGGAGCTAGAGAACATGAGGAGAGAACCAGTGACTGGACAGGTACAGTACCAAACAGAACACCTTGGGTCAGTGCTACGAGGGATCTGCACTCAAGTCTAATATAGATCCCATCCAGGCAACCTCACTGAGGCCGAAACAACAGTTCCTCAGAACCAGCGTCTGCAGTGTACATGAAGGTCGGAGCCAGGACAGTCCTGAGGGGGATGGCCTTCCCAAAGGATACTGTACTTGCCAATCACAAGAGCAACAGAAATGACAGACAGATCCCTAGGGTACGGATTCCTACTGCTGGGGTTCGCTGGCTCGGAGTAACAGGTCACTTTAAGTGCCCTTGGGAGGGGTCCATTTTAAACAGCTTGGATCCATGGTTTTATTGGAGTTGGATCTTTTGGCCTCTTTGGCTATCCACTCATCAATCAGGTCCTGGGGGAGAACAATGGGAAAAATTATTATATACATTCAACCAAAATGTCTTTATATATGGATTCCAAAATGACTGTTAGCAAAGAAGAAATCGCCAAAAGTTTAATAACATGCTAAGGAGTAAAAGAGGTGTGAGAAAATTATCTTTCGATTTACAAAATGCTTTCCTACCTAATCCATTTCTTCCTACCATGCCCTCAATAAGACCTGAAAATCATTATTCATCTTCCCTTATTATATACATGAGTCAACTAAAAAAAGTAAAAATGGGGATGAGTTGAAATGGTATCTGTTAAAGGAATTTAAAACCACTTCCACAAGCCCTGGTGTTTAGGAGATTCCCCTCTACAGATGAGCATCAAATGACAGAAGTACTGTGCAACATAAAGCTGTTTAACTGGAGCTGCTTAACTTGTGTCATCCAAATTTGAGACATGAGCTTACCAAAAGCTTCTGATAAGGACAAGGTAGGAGATAATCCTAACAAAGGCATCACTGCATGCTAAAGAAGTGAGACCAAGTAAAAGGTGCATGGAGTAAAACTCCTTTAAGAAGGGAAGGTTACCTTTAGGGTGGTTAAGGCCCCACTGTGCTCCGCTAGGTCTTGAGGGGCACAGCAATGAGCAGGCAGCTGATAAAAACTTTACCTGTCTCTTCAAAACTAGGTGTTTTCCTTTCCAATACTTGAGCATCTGAAGGGCTTGCAGAGTGCTGACAATGTCCACAGGATTCACAGCTGTCTCCTGGCTAATTTCTGAAACAGAAGAGCTACTGAGAACACGGCCCAAGTACAGCTCCTCACCCCACTACCAAGGCTTCCTTTTCCCTTAGAGAAAATCCAAATATACTCCATATGGTTGGAATCTTCGATACTCGACCCAATCAGGTCAGCAAGTGTGACCAGCATTCATCTGACCAGCCCAAACAGCTACAAAACAGGGATATCACAGCAAGAAACCACTCTTAGCCCCTACAGAAATCAAGGTTAAGGACAGACCAAACTAAATTCTTCCACCCTTGCTAAATATACAGGGCTATATTAGAAGCTCCTGCATGTGCCAAAAGACTTGAAGAAGTTTTTCCTCTTCCTTGACTTTTGTTAAAAACTAAAGTGTTACCAACCCAAGATTTGATAAACTAAATCACATTTCCAGTCCCAAGAGCCAAATGCTCTGGAATCCTTAGGCATCTTTAGTGAGGGTCTCTGCAGTGGCCCATATACAGCAGGCCTTTATTTCTCTTATTTAGATGAAACACAGGATGGCATATTATCTTTGAAGGTTGCAAAGCATGAAAGGCGCCAAGCAGAAAAGTCAGGATATGCAGTGGACTTAACACATTGGGCAAGAACCATTCTAAAGAGTCAAAAACCAACCTTTGATAGAAATCTCTTTGCCTTGGAAATTATGCAGGTAACGGAGAAGCACTTCTTTCCAGTAACTGCGATAGCTTATGAGCCCCAGATCTGAGAGTGGACGTTCTGGGGAGCCAACTTTTTCTTCCACTTTGGAAAGCAAATAACCTGCCAGGGGACAAATACACAGACGTTTTCTAGCAACACTTTATATCTCTTCCTAATAACAAAGAACAATGTGCCAACACGGAAGAAGGTTTAAGAAGTACAGTCCCCTTTGCAACATCCATCAGGGTTCAGTTATTCAATGGAATAACTGTGTGGCTGTTGTAGAGCATGCTGCCTTTGTACACACAAAAGGAGAAGAATGTCCGTTGTACATACAAATGTACAAGAATGTACATTTGCATGTACATCTAACAGATATTCAAAACCTCTGGAAGGCTTCACTAGAAACTTTAATAACAAGGATTATCTGCAGGAGTATGCTGGGAACAGGATAGATGGGAACTAAGATGGAAGCCATTTCATTATACATAGCTTTTTATATTTTTCAAATGTTTGAACTTTAGAACAGATTATCTCAGTACCACATATGAAGGAGTAGGGGGAACTCGACTCTCATGAAGCCTCTAGTTCTAACACCTAAACATCTAACATTCAATACTGTGGGGATGCAGTCAGAAAAATTCATACTCTGGGAAACTCTACTGGAAAACTAACTTGCTTTCTTCAACAAATAAATAGCAAAGAAAAAAAAGATATAAAGTGGGAACTTTCAGATTAAAAGTGATTTACAAGCCACATCTATTGATCCCAACATATCAATTCTATCTGGATCTAAGTAAAAATAATTTTTATTTAAAAAAACAAAATCACAAAATCAGAGAAATCTGAATACTGTAATTTATGAATTTTAAGGAATTTTTTGGCTTTTTAGTGTTTTTTAGGTGTAATAGACCTTATCTTTTAGAGACAGCAAAATAATTGAGGGTGGGAATACAGATAAAACAAGACTGGCCATAAAATGGTAATCATCACAAGGGGTTTTATTATATACTATTATTCTACTTTTGTGTGTGTGTGTGTGTATATATATATATAT